CTCCTCTCTGTGTCCTTTGCATGCATTCCACTTGATCATGCCATTTCATCCATAACCTGACTTTGTGGAATAAACTGGTGTTGTTTGTGCTCTGTGCTAGAAAACAGGACTTCTTACTGTGATGGACATATTGATGTATGTTTTATAATACAATTTCACAAAATCTGCTTCTATATTTTCCTTTGTAAGTGTTTTTGATGCTATCTTACTGTGCTCCCTCCCTTTTCTCCCAAAGCACACGAACTTGCTCACACCACACACGTGCTACTGCGGAGCCTGGGAAGTTAAATACAGAAGGAGCACATACACTCAGAGCTATAGAGTTTTACACTGTGATCCTAACTTTACACTATAAAATAACACTTTAAATGATGAAAATGTAGACCGCCATTGCTCTAGTAATTAATGATAACAATTTAGGCTATAATGCTCCAAATAATTCAACAGAATACTTGGCTCAATAGAGCTGTGACTCTCTGTCAGCCTGGCTACAGTGCTGAAAAGAAACCTGGGTTGTTCCATATTTTCCTCTATTAATGACAAGTAGTACGCTGCTCTGGCATTACGGAGGACCTTCCTGTAAGTTTGAAGACTATCTGCCAAATTAAATGAGAATTTTCCAGTTTGGTGGAACGCCAATTCCTCTCAAGTTTCCGCGATATTGCTTTAATTTGCGAGTTTCAGTATTATACCATGGAGCTAACAGTCTTTGTTTTATTATTTTCTTTTTTAGAGGGGCTACAGAGTCGAGTGTCATTCGCAGCGAGCCTGCAGCACTATCAACAAGATGATCAATTTGGGAGTGACTGAAATTAGTATAGGAGTCCTCCGTTACTTTGTGACTTGATAATGAATTTAGAGCTGATGGATCGCATCCTTAAATTTAGCTACAGCACTATCAGACAGACATCAATTTTTGCCCAATGGCGTGTACTTCAGCAATACAAACTCAAAAGTTATCAACAGTGGTCAGATAAAGAGGGATTCTGTGGGAACACTATTAAATGTTCAATTTCATACCATATACCAAAACAAGGTCGAGGGTGTGGTTAAAACAGTGAGTCGGTTCGTGAACACTCTGAGAGAAGCCAATGGAATCTAACAGAGAGATAACGCAGTACTGAAGCTGTCATTCTCAACGTCCACATGAATATTAAAATCCCTACAATAATAACTTTGTCCTTTTTAA